AGGTTATGTGCTCCCCAGATCCCTAGATCAGGGAACACGTTCGGATGGTACTGCCCGATCACATATCACACACAACTGGTGAGAGGGACCAGCATGCACGGCCCACGTGAGCGTCCAATATTGCGCCGTGATCACTGCAATCCAAAGTGGCGCCAGTGGTGCTCTCCCTCTTCGTGTGTGTGCCGCTGGTCGAGGGGTCCCAAGCTCAAGACAGCATACTTCAAAGGGTTCGCCGAACTGCTCGCTTATTTAGCGGGGCGATTTGCGGCGGCCGCTGCGGTCTTTCCCAAAGAAGATGCTGTACTTGTCCTCTCTCGAACGGTTTTCGGCGTCGTGGCGTCACGACATCTCACCTTCCGACTATGGGGACAATGCCTGGCGGTCATAGGCAGCCGGCCTGTCAGCTACTTGTATGAAGATCCAAAGAGCACCGCTCCCTTGTCAGCTACGGTGCTAGTCACAACAACGGGAATACCCCAAAATCAGGGGCTACAGGGTGACATTAGATGGACCTCACTTGAGTGCAGGGAAGCTAGCAGAAAGATCGATTTTGAGGAGTGATTGAGAAAAAAGAGAGAGGAGCGTTGGGCTAGGAAAGTCTTCAGCTACTTGTACATCAAGAATGTTAATAGTAAATGGAATAAGCGAACTCAAAAACTGTCAAGCAAGTACTTAGACAACAGCAGGCTACGAAACCAAACGGAAACACCGGTTAAGAAGAAGGTGCAGGAAATACATAGTGACATATGGAAGATGGGAATGCTTACGGAGTTATCACTGGAGACCTAGCAAACCTCTGGGCAGGGAATTCTAAGGGACAAGATCTACGATGATTCTTGGGGTAGTTCTCTGCTCTTCGAGGCTAGAACTGGAGTATTGCGGACCAAGACGTACAGAGCAACATGCGAAGGCACAGACGCTGCATGTAGTACGTGTGAAGAGGAGGAGAACACGGCTGAACATTTTATAATGTTCTGTAAAGGGCTCCACGTTATGGTCGAAGATAATGGCACCCAATTTTTCAAAGCATTGGAGTTGAGAGACAGTGAAGACAAAGCAGACTTTATATGGGTAGAATAACCAGGACGAGGATAACTGATTGGTGGCTACAATCGAGGCGCAAGTGAAATTCAATGCCTAAGTACACAACGATGTTACTTAACTTTAAGGCTAGGTGACGTGAGCGACCACCCGATCTAAAGGGCACAGCCGGATCCATCCATCCATCCATCCATCCATCCATCCATCCATCCATCCATCCATCCTTCCATCCATCCATCCATTCATCCATCCATCCATCCATCCATCCATCCATCCATCCATCCATCCATCCATCCATCCATCCATCCATCCATCCATCCATCCATCCATCTATCCATCATCTGCCAGTGTATTCCTAGATTGTCGCCCACCATCACCAGCAAAATGTGGGGGAAGACTGATGAGCCAGAAGAGAGGAGCAAGGCTAGTGCCCTTGACAACAATTACCGCACGGTCTGCATCTTCCGAGTGGTTTATCCCTTTGCAAACTAAGTGGTTTGAACGCTGCTCGCATGCTCTCTGTGGTTACTCCTCGACGGTCTATGCGTTCATCGCGCGCGCCCATTGAGCTCCATTACTCTTTTAGGGGCGAAGCTCCTTAGGGCGTGGGCTGTGCGTCCCCTGTAGCCTGTATGTAGCCACCTCTAGTTTAGTTCTTGCAGTGTTCACTAGATGGCGGTACCGTCCCCTGTATGTAGCCACCTCTAGTTTAGTTCTTGCAGTGTTCACTAGATGGCGGTACCGTCCCCTGTACGTAGCCACCTCTCGTTTAGTTCTTGTAGTGTTTACTAGATGGTGGTACTTGTAGCTGATGATAAAAAGATGCAAGATGTTATAAACTAGAAATGGGTACTTGTTGATGAAAGACGCGAGATCTTATAAAATAGGAATGATGTCACATATGGCGCGTGTCGTTGGTTGAAGGCAATCGTTCGATTTAGTGCGGCGACGTACGCTAGGGGGAGCGATGTAATAAAATCGAGTGGGCAAAATGTACAGAGGATTCATCGTTTACCCGGTTTACCTCCGGAGCTTCGCCCACTCATCATCATTCACTTCGTGGATATGGCGGAATTTTTTCACTTATTTTTGTCGTAGATTGTACTAACTTTAAAACGCGTTCATACGCACGTCCAGATTTGTCAAGTTAGCTATAAATTACTGGTACTATATACTTTGTTAGTTTAATTTTTTTTTCATGCTGGGAATGTGCTGGCGAGTTCGATGTGCTTACGTGGTCAAACGTGCCGTCACAACACTACTGACCGTTTATTTTGCATAACGTAAAGCACTCTGGCGAATTGAACACGTCCACGCATTGGACACCACGCAAATAGCTCCGCCGTTGGTTAGGTTCACACAAAAGTGTGAACTAGCCCAAGTCACAGAAAATATTCATCAACACACTGATTAGAACTTGAGGTTGCTTCTATAAACAAACCAAGGCACTGTGCGTGGAAGACATCCGTCCTACCGGAAAGCTGCACCAGTGCGAGAAACTGCTGCTGGATTAAAATCTATACAACTGTCATCTCCGGAAACAAGTCGGTGTAGTTCCAATACTGGCTAGATACAACGTTGCATATTTATTCCAATCAAGCAGCGAGCTACAGTCAAGCAATGATTGACTCTGAGAGAAATACGTTAATGACTGACACACATGATTCATACCTTAACGCACAATATGGTTCAGATTGCTTGTGTTCTCTCATGTGAGTACCGATCTCAGTCTCGTCATGAGTTACACTACTGACACCACTTAACGTGATGATTTGGCAAGCATTTAATGTACGAGTAATACAAAGCTGTTAAATATTTACTAGAGAGAGAAAAAAGAAACATGCTGCATTGCCAGCTACTCTGCGTTTCTCGTGAGATAGATGCTCGCATTGAGCATTTAGTACTTGGAAGGTTTTATAGCGCTACTTACCGGTGCCCTTTTCAGGAGCAGAGTGCGGTAGATATATCCTTCCCGAATATCATCATACGTTGACGCTACGCATGAGTACTCTGACTTGTTGAGAGGCTTGGAGTAACCCACAAGGTAAAGAGTATTCTGCGAAGCGGGTAACTAAAACAGAATGAATTGTTTTTATTTCGGGTAACAGAATTACTAAAGTCGCATTCAAAAAAGAAGCTAAAGCGGTTAGGCAGGCATTCCACTAATATGCGTGATGCGCGACACTAACCTGTCATAAGTCAAAGTGAACGTTGAACTGCTGCTGTACTAACACTAGATGACATACATGGCGAGAGAAACACAGGTAGGAGAAAACTAGTTTGTGAAAGAGATTATAGAAGCCTGTGTCAACAACAAAATTGGTTTTCTGTTTTCGAGAAGCAAATAACCATTCCGAGTCAAGATTGTTTTAATCTCCCTGGTAATATACGCTCCTAAGAGTACACAGTTACATGGGTTGCGCTGATAAATTTGAGGCAGTGTGTTCAATTGTAGGCAATGACTGCTGTGATACAACTGTTTAGAAATAAAATCACACCCACGCAACGAAATCAGGACACCTGCTAGTCAGCTCTAAATATTCAAAAACTATTGGTTAGCTTTATCTGTAACTCAAACAATGAGCTTCCTAAACCGAGTTGGCAGCCACGACCAGAAAGCATTGGCCCAAAGCCGAGGGCCTCTTCAACCTCAGCGCAGGGCACATAAGAAAGATCCAGATGTCAACATGGGTGCATAAAAGTTAAGGGCGTCGAAGTAATTGAAAAGCAATAAAGATAATTTAAAATATGCACAAAAGATAAGGTTTCAGTGAAAACAAGCCTCTACGTTCACGCATTATACCTATTTTTACATCAAAAGGATAAGGCATAATTCTCGTTCTCATTGATATCAGTCGTTAGTTAGTGACAAGAATAACGCCCAATCAAGAAGCAGCTGTGAAACGTTACCATCACTGTCAATGTCTGAGAAGGAAAATACAAAGCAAGTACAACGATCTGTAGTACTTATATGAGCAGCGGAGTGCATGACGAGTACATAGATCTTTATAGCATGGTAGCTGCTTCAATCTGTGCGACCGTGTTCGTTATTCTTTTCGGCATGGCTGCTTGCTTACATTAGCATGCTTACTGGGAATTTAGATGCTCGTTGTACCCGGGCCCATAGCGTGGATGTGAGCAGAGCAGTCTGTGATGCTAAATAATACAGGTTGCGTACACTAATGAACCAAGACGCTCCGTGTGAGATAATTATTTTCTTTATATACGTGATATTTTTGCTTGAAGTGAGATACAGTGGCGGTGGCATTCACATGTAGGCGACGCCCTAGATTTCCATGTTTTGTACTAATTAACAGATCTTCGAGGGAAGCCGTCTGGTCATCTCACCTGGAACTCTAAGATCGACTCCTCTCATGCCCCGTAAAAATTCGAAAAGAGGGTTATGACGCTATGACTCTCTTCGGTTATCCTTCTGACCCCTTATGGAAGGTACAAGCAGAAAACTTTTGTTGACAGTCAACATTTGTTCACGCATACCTACATTATCGTGAAACACCTTTCGACAGAATTTCGAGCTGAAGACATCAACGCATACGTGGTACATTACACGTGGCTGGCGCTCGGTGCCGTTCACATACGCTGTGGGCTCTGGTGCCACAGCTTGTCATCGGCGCGATTGTGGCCGGCAGTGACTGCGCCTCCTCAATGGTCTCTCCTGCTTGTTCACAGTGTGTTGTGTGTCTTGTAGTTTCTCGAATTGCCACGCCAAAAACCCGTCATCCTTCTTCACTTCAGGAAGCACGTTCTCGCTTTCTTCTCATTTTCGAAATTAAAGCAGCTCACGGAGATGCCCTGTAGAACTTTTACCTATGCAAGATATTGGTACTGCGACTACCTACAACCATCCGGTGTGTCTCTAATTTTACTAAAGTTTCACCATTGGTGTGAAACACATTTGCGGATTTTTAATAGCTCAAAAATATTTAAACATTTCTTACCGGATAAGAAGGGTCTGTCAATTCAGCAAACGATGCATCTGGGTGAGAATAAAAAAGCAGCATTTAGATCACTTGAAATGTCCTACTTCTCGTAGGTAGCGAAACAACTCTCGTGAATTCGTAAATAATGAGTAGAGATGTGGGCCGTCTGCCTCAAAGGACTGCTACAGGCCGTAGAAAAACTCCAAGAATATTTTCATTAGAACTATGAAACAAAACAGGGAAACTCGTGAGTCAACACACAATATATTTAACTATGCCTAGGCGGGGGCACACCACGCGTGCGCACGTCGGATCATCACTAAGCGCATTGCCACCGTGTTGACAGGACCATTCTGAAGCGAGTGTCTGGGCTACGCACATCGCTATTGCGCAGTATGTGTCGTGCCAACCACGCAATTCGCGTGAATCCCACAATGGCTGGATTGTGGGTGGCGGCGAAAATGCTGTAGGCCCGTGTGCTCATATTTTGGCGCACGTTGAAGAGCCTCTGGTGGTCGAAATTTCCGAATGCCTCCACAACGGCGTCTCTTATAGTGATATGGTGGTTTTGGTACGTTAAACCTCACATATCATTCAGATAGTGAATGTCTGAAGGTGTAGTTATGGCCACAGTGAAGTACATTTAAGCTACGACTGCATGTTGATTAGCTCTCGTTATTATGAATTCACTGCAAACGTCCGCCTAGTTTGCAGTGTTTGCGATATTTATGATAGCTTCTATGTAGTCTTTGGCATAGCGTTCAAGGCCCTCATTTCTGGACCTGGGCCAACCGTGTTACAATAGAAGGCACGGGAAAGGTTATTTTGTAAGTTGTCATTTCTTTGCTTCATGTCACGTGTAGGTTAGAAAAATTCTCGTGGTTGACGACAGTTTCTTTTCAACCCCGTTGTCACCAGCTACACATGTTGAGTTGATGGGTATGTGGGGTTTAATGTCACAAGCCAACTAAATGTATATGAGAGACGCCGTAGTGGAGGACTTCTGATATTGTGACCTCCTAGGGTTCTTTAACGTGTACCCAAGTTTAAGCACACGGGCCTACAGTACTTTCGCTTCCATCAAAAATGCAGCCACTGCAGCAGATACCGCGACCTGTGGGTAGCAGCCGAGTACTTTAGCCACTAAACGACCGCTGAGAGGCTCCTACACAGGTCAATCTATACAAGCATCACTTGAGTCAATACAAGCATCGCTCTGTATGTATGGAGTTTGAAACCGGGAGTACAGACCCGAAAGTGAGTACCTTACTCAATATGTGGGGCGACCAGTGTGCTGGAAAAGTGCCAAACGGAGGTGTTTTCGGCTTCCCAGATTGTAACGTACCTGTGACAATGCGTGGGCTATTGACATTATGTTTCTTCCCTTTCACAGATTGAGCACAACATCTTGAACTTCGAGTGCTCGTTTAGTGTCTTTCCAATCGTTTTCTTGAAAATGTAGCAGAAGGGTGTTCCATGTGTCTATGTCTGTCATTTTTCGAGAAACAGATCACAGTGTGTGATTGTTACGGCTGGTTCTAACGTTGGCAATCACAATTTTTCACTGGGTATACAGGTATCATTAGGCACGTAATCGTAATGACCCATGTAATGTAGCGTAAAAGAAAAGTAAAATAAAACCCATTAACAACACAAAAACGCTCCCTCTGCAACGAGTGTGCGGTTTCTTGTTCCCATATTACTTCATCGACATGAAATACGCAGCCTTCCTAAGTTCTTATTGCTTTGAGCCAGTCAGATGTACACGAACTGCAGGGCTGTTTTGTCCACATTACATAAATTCAGAGAGCCTCCCTAACTTCCTAACGTTTGGAGCTAGTCAGTTTTACACGGGCTTCAGCGCCGTTCTTGCCACATTACATAAATTCAGTGAGGCAACCAAAAGAATAAGTTGCCAGTGATACCACCTTATGGGTATGATTCTCGCCCACTCCCCCCCCCCCCCCACTTTTTTTAACTTTTAACGCGACAGCGGTAAAGAGCTCGTGTCGCAAAAGCCCGCCGCTGGTGTCGGCCCCCCTGGTTGTGAGCGAAAAATTGTCTGTGTGTCTTACCAAAAGGTAAAGTTACCGAGATAGCTGCGGGAGGAAACTACTAGTCCAGGCGTGTGCGCGATCATACTGAGAGAGTCGTGCATTTGAAGGAAAAAATGCTCAAAGTCACGAGGCGCGGTAGTTGCTTTGCCCTGCCACCCCTCCTTTCTTAGCTTCCAGCACTTTTGTCGGGACGAAAGAAGAGAAAATGCAGTAGCAGCATGCGACATACCTTTCTAACTCCACTCGCACTAGACGTATTCCTACAGTTTTTGAGGCATTGACGTCGTGAAGCAATGAGCTCTTTTAGTGAGATCATTCAATGGTTATTTAAAAAGTGTTTCAGGGCCCCTTTAACGCTTTTTGTTCGACAGGTGTAACAACTAAAACGAGCCAACTTGGTGATTATAGCGCGCGCTGGTTCAATATTCTATGTGCGTGTTTGTGTACGTGTCTCTGTGTGTGTAAAACCATATTGTCACGGCTAAAGGCCGGGCAAGAGGACGACAAAGTGATGAGCGTGGGCAGCACCCACGGTTGCTCCGAGAAAGACGACGTCGAAGCGGCTGCTCCTTTGCTGCCGGCGCCTAAGCAAAATATCCTGCAGCTTACTAACCAGTTTGAAGATTGTTTCTCTTCGATGTCCATGATCCATTAAACGCCACTGAAGAAACATCAAATTATAAAGGACGACATGAGCAGACCAATCAGGCTGGTCATGTCAGAACTTGGTAGCTCCGCGAAAACGTGAAGTCATCGAAAACCAGGAGCGACAGATGCTTGAAGAAGACGTTATTCAGCCGCCGAAAAGCTCTTGGGCTTCGCCGGTTGTATTAGTGAACAAAAAGGACGGCACCTTATGTTTCTGCGTGGATTACCGCAAGCTGAATTAGGTGACAAAAAAGACGTGTCCACCCACTTCTACGTATCGACGATTCACTCAATCGACTACGGCATGCGCGTTATTTCTCGTCGATGGATCTAAGGAGTGGGTATTGGGAGATAGAAGTCGCAGAAAGAGACCGGGAGAAAACAGCTTTCGTGACACCTGACGGCCTTTTTGAATTTAAGGTACTTTCATTTGGCTTGTGCTCAGTACCGACCAGGTTTCAGCGGCTAATGGATACCGTACTATCAGGCCTCAATTGGCTGACGTGCTTATTGTGACCAAGACCATGACGGCACTCCTCTGGATAGCGCACACAGGCGGTGGCAAGTCACGCGCGGCCGCGGCCGAGTGCGAGGGAGGTGCCGGCTCCGGTGCGTGGCACGACTGACCGTCTGCGCAGCGCATCGAATTGCACGCACACCAGCGGTGAGCCGCGTGTGGCGGCGGCGGAGTATCATTGCGCATGCGCAGACGAGTGCCATGCGGAGTCGGCTCAACGAGGCCAGTGTAGCTAACGCTACAAAAACGAAAACAAGAAATTCCGCAGCAGGGCGTCGAATTAGGGACATCGCGCTTCGCGGAGCACGACACTAACCACTGAGCGACCGAGTGACCCTACTCTGACGTATGAACGGCGAGCTATTTATATACACCAGGTACTTCGGCTGTCTTTCGAGCTCGACACTTCAGCAAGCTTTCGTCATTGTTAGCGAGCTGGCATGACGAGCGCGGGTTGTGGGCACGCACTTTAAAGGTCATTGCGCCTCATCACCCCACTCGTGGATGTGGCCGCGTCTCTCTACATGGCGTGGTCAAAGTGCGTATAGATGATATCTTGCATGGTGGCTTTCTCGCGCGCGTGCTTATCTCGGGATTCGGGTGCTGTGTACCTCTGCTTCTTCCACCGCAAGAAAGCATGCTTTGAAGTTGCAGTGTTGAAGCCAGCATGAACGTCACTTCGCTCGTCCCCACGGCTGCGTTTACTGAAGGAGCACACTGCCAACACACGAAGAAGTAAGAATGATGACCAGTGTTTGCGCTCGTCCAGGTGTATATTATTATGCGTGCTTTGAGTGTCGAGCTGTGACAGCTGTTTGTCCGCACTCAACCCGCGTATATGCTCTTACATGCGTGCTTTCTGCTTGAAGTGTGCGCTGCGAGTTTCGAGCTGCAGTCGCTTTTCGTACGACATTGCAATTTGTTACTGCAGCATTCATTCCTTCGCTCCTGTGGCGAAACCATGCACAATGGAAGTTTAACTGCCTCTGCGAGGACAGTTTTTACTTGCACTTTATATCAATTCCTAAATGGAGGTGCCAAGCACGTTTCTTTTTTGATTGAGTCCTCTGCAGTTCTCACATCATTTTTCCCTGCAAACATCTCTGTCTGAATTCTTCTGAACGACGCAATTGGCCTCCTCGCGCTGTATTGCTTTCCCTACACTCTCGCTATCCTATTTTCTTTTTGCAACGCTCTGTGAAAATACCTGGATAGCCGAGTGCTTGCGAAACCCATCTTCGGATTGTCGTTGTACTGCATCGAAACTCGCCTTGCGATGAACTTTTTCCGCCGAAAAGACTGGGTCTTTACAACTTTTCGTTCTCTTTCTTTCCTTTTGTCTGTACTGGTTGTGTTTCTCGACAGATATATTGTATCTCACACCGGAGCAATCAGCACATGTGTTTGACATTGAAGCTGAAAACTGAAGGCCGTAACTATGAAGTAGAGGACAAGCAGGCCAAGCTCTTTCCTCAGGGAGTAATTGTGGTGAATCTGTGACATTGGTGGGTCTTGGTATACGCAAAGTGCTGACGGGTTTCTGTTCACAGCAAAACTTCTATGGTCGCCTGATTGTTTGATTGATTGATATGTTTGGTTTACCATGCCGAAACCGCTATATGAGTATGAGAGATGCCATTGCTCCGGAAATATTGACCTCCTGGGATTCTCTACCGTGTGCCCAATTCTAAGCATACTGGCTGACAGCATTTTCGCCTGCATCGGAAGTGTAGCCACCATGGCCGGGATTCCATCGCACAACATGCGGGTCAGCAGGCGCTTACTTTACCAGTAGATCACCGTGGCGTGCGGTGGCCTTAGCAGGTCATTGACAAAAGGCAGCCTGTCACCCAGCTGCAGCATCCAAACTAAAAAATAAATGAAGAATAAAACACATTACAGTTTCTTTGTAGTGCTGAGGTTTAAATCTGCGTTTTTGTTACCTTATGGTTGGTCTCGTGCATACTCTGCCACGCGTCTTCAAAAATCAGGCACAAAATATTACGATTACGTTATCCTAACGAATTAAATAATTGAGTTCTACTAAAGAAGAAAAGAATAACTTTAGTGATCAGCATTACAGCGGGAGGTTCATTTAAATGCCTGGCTTTAGTGGGCTAAAGGTGACTTGCGGGATGATGCGTAAAGGCACGATTATATTCGTAAATTTTAGCAAAATTTGATTTCGAAAAATTGCGTTTTGAGCTGCCTTTTATTTCGCGGAAGAGTCTACTCGATGAGTCACTTATTTGGTGGATAAATGCTGGGACCAGCATAAAAAACGGCTTCCGATTCCACTCGAAAACAGCCTTCTATAAACATAAGAACTGACAAACAGAAGCAAAAGAATGGAAAGGAAAAACAGTAGTTAAGGCAAACACACGCTAAATGTCACTCTCCCGCCGTTTCCCAATATGGGAATGTTCTTAATTTTTCAACCCCCACGTGTCTTAATGTATAGAGGCATGTGGTAAAACTATTGCAACAATCACGCACTGAAGAACGACTTGATATGACATCAGGCTTCTTTAAATTGGATGAAATCAATTAAATTATAATTCGAAATCTTAGACTGCGACAAATGGCAAACGGTAACAAGCAAACAATACCCCTGTCTTTAACATTTAATAAGAAAATAACCTTTGCGTGTACAGTGAAGTAACATGATTTCTCACTAAAGAAGTGTATACAATCGAAAGAACCTGTATACAAGAAATCATGGCATTAATTATTTTGAAATTTTACGTGGCATGACATGAGACGCACGTCACAATATTTTCCCGTGATAGTTTGTTTTGGGAGGTATAGTAAATTGTGGTAAAGCATCAACGCAAACAACCACAGGTACGAAAGTGACCAAAGTCACTGTTCGAAAACACAAGGTTAGACTAATTGTTTCAAGAAGTGTATCAAGGTGCCGAAGAAGGTGAATGTAAACCTAATTGCAGGTGGGGCCTAGAAAGTTGATAAAACACTCTTCAATCTCGAGACTCTGAAGGTGTCTTTTTTTCGCTTGCTCGCACAACTCGTCATCATAGCTAAAAACTAATCAAGGAATACAAGTTCCTGGCCTACCTGTCAGTTCGCACATGTCGTTCTATATGACTCTCATTTTTCTATATGACTCGAACAACGACCAACTATTTGCCGGTTCTTTTAGGATACAAGCTATGATGCTTCTCGAAGCTAGCTTTTGTTGTGATTTCAAAATCAAGTACTCGAAGAGTTCAGGGGTATGAATGGCGCTCACTAACTTAATGTTTTGAGAATTTGAAAACATTGAGTGCGTTCATCCGAACTTTTGCCTTGAAATGTCTCCCATAAAGCAAACGCAAAAAACATGCAGCAACCTAGATGTAACAGCATGCATTGTGATCTGAAGACAATGTTTTTATTGTTTCTCAAGAAAAAGCATAACAATCAAAGGTCTTTTGTCTTACCTGAGTCATTTATCGGGCTCTCTATAAATTCCAATGACACCCGATCTCTGCATAGCGTTGGGTTTAAGGTGCGGTTCACGCAAAACGTTCCCGGCCCGTTCCAAACTGAAGACATGAAAACGAAAAATGTTTGCAGCTGCACAGTCCTACAGATTTTCGTCAACGCAGTTCCAAAAGGAACTAACCAATCTAGGACCTACTTTGCTTACATGGATATGAAAAAAAATTGATGCACTGGTTCTTCACCACGAAAAACTACCTCCAACGCCTCCTAATATTGAAGTCACCATCTACTTCAAGAAAATGGGCTATGCAAAAACTGTAGAATGTAGACCACAAGATTATATTTTCTATTGAAGCTTGTGAAGTTTATTTTAAAAATTTCAAAACCTTCGGCATTCGAATCCGTATAAAAGGAAAGCGACACTCATTTTCACAAAAACAGTGCTTGTTGTATAGTGATATGTGGCAGCTTGCCCAATGTTTATAGGTGTTTGGGAGCTATACCATCACGTGACGTTAATATACCCATGTTAATGCATAGTGTCATATCTATATCGTGACGACTAACGCTGGTGATCATGATTAAACCGTTATAGCAGCTGCAGGTGTCAACGTATAAGTTGGTGCAACGCATTGTTCATCTCATCTGAACTTGTCAAAAACCTAGTCATATAAAACACTAGTATATAATATGCGCGCACTAATGGTGTCATCAATTAAAGAAGAAGCACACACGGTGTGCACTCCTGACGAGTAGGATAACCTGAGGTTCGAGTCCCGGCAAGGGAGGTTTTTTTCTCGTTTGGTTGCGCTATTTTTATCCACTTCATATGCACGATGAAATAACGTGATTCAGGTCTAGCTGATCCTTGGTATTGATCGATTTTAACACAAAAGTGTGTAAACCCAGGGTCAACAACCACTCCACTGACATACTTCCGTCGAAGAGGTGACGTTGAATATATATGCTGAGAGATTGCCAAGAAAAAGGACAGAAAATGAGGATATGTCGCAAGGAATCAAACCAGCAACATCTCGATTCTCAGAGTGCAGCGCTAAAAACTATGCCACAGAGCGTCATTTTTTTGTTTTATTGCCAGCTCATAGGAGCGTACATCAAACTACCAGTATACCAGAAACAAGCAGTGAAAGTCAGACTCAAACTGAAATTTCCTAAGTGCTGCCAAGAGTTCTAAGCTCGACAACTGCTCAGGTATAATCTCCTGAGTTTTCGGCAGTTAAAATCTCCTGAGCTTTCTGCCATACATTCACCGAAATACATTTATGCAAACGGTGCACCATGATCGCAATAAAATCCTGCCATACGGGCCCGCCATAATGAGTGAAGGCCATATAACATAATCAAATCAAAACGCATTCCCTCTTCGTCAACTATTGGCAGAAATCTTATACCTTAAAAACTTCAAGGGAATTCCTTCTTGATCGTCGTTTCAAGTACATACTAAATGTATATTCTTCCCGTCAATGTTAGAAAATAGCTCCTGTAAGTTCTGGTTTTTCATAGTTACGGCAATTCGTACCCGAAGGTGAGTAAAAACCACAGTCTGCTTCAAAGGTCCTGCCAGATACTGCACCCTTATGGAGCTCAAAAAATGAGTTTGTGCCAGGAGTCACTTGCATTCTTTTCACACACATCATTTATCACACACATCGTTGTACAGCTTTTCGCGAGTCACTGAAAAAAGTATTCATTGAAAAATCTAACAGAAAGAAACCGCACACTTGGAATACCTTCTTAAAATATCCGCAGACAGCACCGGTCATGTCATTTGTGCTAACCACATATCAAGGTAGAGCCCACATATGTCTAACTTGGCACACTGTACGCAAGAAAGGATCCCTTGTGTAGCGAAAACAAAAAGACCATTTTTATGAAATGGTGCGTGAAAAGATGTGGTAAACCCAGTACTCCACGTTTCACTCTTCAAAACAGATTGTTTTGACTGCATCTTTCCCAGTTCGAGGCCGACGCGAACACTGCGATGATGCGATGGAGCTTTTGTATGTTCGTTCTTGAACAATGCGGTGATTGCACCACATACCAAAGTTTTGAGGCAAAGAAAAGATTTCAGACAGTTGTCCTTGAGAACACTAACAGTTGATTAGCGCCACTGCGGTGTTCTAGGGGCTAAGGTACTCGGTTACTGACCCACAGGTCGCGGGATTGAATCCCGGCTGCGGCACCTGCATTTCCGATGGAGGCGGAAATGTTGTAGGCCCGTGTGCTCAGATTTTGGCGCACTTAAAAGAACCCCAGGGGGTCGAAATTTCAGCAGCCCTCCACTACAGTCTCTCCCATAATCAAAAGGTGGTTTCGGTACGTTAAACCCTACATATCAATCAAATCATCTAACAGTTGATCACCGTTGCGTCTATTGGCTTTCATTCATATTTCTTCTGGTTGTTCTTGCCAGTAATTTTTGTTATTTTTAAAATATTCCTGTCGCACGCTAGGGTACCTGAAAGGTGTGGTCACCCACTTAACATTGGCCAAGTAGTCTAGTCCGCACGAACACTCTCCATGCCAGAAGCCGAGTCACTTTGCCTAGTTTACTAGACTGCCAGTTCCATTGCCGAACATTTTAACTACAGTTATGGGAGTGGTAACACTATCTTGAGTGGTACAGCAAACAGCCACAATGTCGGCATATGCCAGAATTTTACCTTCCGATTCTTGTAACCTCATGCCATGAATTCTTCTGTTTTGAGTTATTGCTAGGAACAACAATTCTATATATATTCTGAATAGTAGGGCACTCAGCGGGCAGCCCTGACGAATAGAACAATTTATGTGAGTTGCATCTCCTATCGTCTTGTCAATTACCAGATGGGTCGTGCAGTTTTGGTGTGCAAGAGATACTCCATCTCAGATTATGGAACCGGCGCCGACATGGCCAAGAACTGTGGAAGGCTGTGGGAAGCACAATCAAAAGCTTTCTCGAAACCAATTTGTAGAATGGCTACCTCTGCTTGATTGGCATCACACCAATCAAGCACATAGCGAATCATGTGTACATTGGTTACAAACGAACGTTCCATAATCCCGCATCTTTGGTGGGGCCCTACCAATTCTTTGATTACACCCTAAAGTCGCCGTGCCAGTACTTTTAATAAAAGTTTGTAATCACAAATATTGATACAGGCCTATACGATAAAAACTCATTTTAGATTCTCAGACAGTTTTATCTTAGGTATACAAACTTTATGTGCTTCATTAAACGACCCAGGGAGGTCATCAAGTTTATAAGCCTGATTGAAGGCATGTGAGTATACTTCGGATGATTCATTTTTTTAATTCCTTATAAAATGAACCACGAAGGCTATCCAGTCTAGGAGATTTACCACAAGTTATTTTATCTATAGACCTTTTTACTTTACTTCTGTTGGTGATAAGGAAAGCTCTAAAGCTGATTTGGTGTCATCAGATAACTTCGGCGTTCTTCTAAGAAACTCTCTCCTAAATGCTTCTACATCAGTGGGCGTGGCAGTGAAGAATGCTTCGTAGTGTTTACCAAACGCGCATCCTACGTTCTCGTTGTCTGAAACTACGATAATGTTGATTTAAATGTCAACTATATAGTTTCGTCTGGCATCACTCTTTTCTAATCCAAGCGCTCGCTTTGTCGGGCGATCATGCGAAGTCATTAATGTTGTTGCTCAGGTTGGCACTAGCACTCCGCGATAGATTTCCTCCTCATATACCTCTATCCTTTGTTTGATACTCCGCAAATTGTCTGCGTATACTCCGGGTTTTTCACATTCAAGAGCTGTTAGCCTCTCAAGTGTCCGTTTAGGGTATTTATTCTTCTTTTCAGATCAAAAAAATGAAATGCTGAATCTAACTATTGCTTTTATTTTGATTCGCTGCTTGGAAGCTCCCCTTTGCTTCCTAATTTGTCCATACGCTCTATGGTAATAAATATTCATTTCGTTATAACTGGTTCACTACATGACTCCAAACGTAGGAGGCTAGAGTTCAGTTTCCTCTGTTCCAAAGAAACAGCATTCCTTTCTTTGATTCGATGTAAAATTTTAGGAGCGAAGCTCCTTAAGGCGTGGGCTGTACGTCCCCTGTATGTAGCCACCTCTCGTTCAGTTCTAAGTATTACGGTAGCCACCGCCCGATCTAAAGGGTACAGCCATATCCATCCGTCCATCCGTCCATCCGTCCGTCCGTCCATCTATCCATCCATCCATCCATTCATCCATCCGTCCGTCCGTCCGTCCGTCCGTCCGTCCAAAAGATGCTAGATGTTATAAACTAGACGGCGGTACGTGTAGTTGATTATGAAAGATGCGAGGTGTTATAAACTAGACGGCGGTACGTGTAGTTGATTATGAAAGATGCGAGGTGTTATAAAATAGGAATGATGCCACATATGGCGCGTGTCATCGTTCGATATAGTGCGGCGACGTACGCTAGGGGGAGCGTTGCAATAAAGTCGAGTGGGCAATATGTACGGAGGATTCATGGTTTTCCAGGTTTACCTCCGGAGCTTCGCCCACTCATCATCAATCACTTCGTGGATATGGCAGCATTTTTTAAAGACAGTGATCAGAAAAGAAAACGGGGACAACGTTATAACTTTTACACGGAGCTATCGCATCCACAGTAAGGTAAAGTTGGTTCAATCGGGCATTACTTGGGCCCTGAAAGTGGGTATACTTCACATCTAAGTATCTATACATGCACACCGCTACATGTACTTATTCGTATTCAATGTTCACCTGTGCTAGGACAATACTGATTTTGTCTGCAAATTGATTGATATGTGGTGTTTAACGTGCCAACGTTTTTTCTGTAAAATTGCGACTGCTGTGTCTATCATTTTTGATCAGAACTCAGTTGCAATGCCCCACCAATAAGAGTTTCCTACCAGTACATGTATGCTGTCGTAAATCGAAAAAAAAACTACCACTTTCTTGGCCAATAGTTGGAACGTAAATTGATAAATTGTGATATTCAGTGTCACAATAAACAATATCACATCATACTACTCGGCCCAATGAGCAGAAAAAGGCATTTAGTATGAGTAATCTTGGAAGTTTTTTCACCAAAGAGAGCACATCCCCCACAAGTA